GCCGCTGCGACCCCTGATATATATATATTCGACGAAATTACTTCATCCAGAATGGATTATATCTACCTTATCAAAATATTATCTTGAAAAAGTCTATTTGTTATTCAAAATATTTAATTTAAAAAACTAAAGTAAATGAAATATTTATTCTTCATAATGATTATCCTTCTAGTCTATCTTATTAATGTTAGTAACATTCCGAAAAAAGTCTGTGCATACTAGACTCAAAAATGGTGTGTAACACCTTCGATGAATCTAGTATGAGTAACTGATGACTAGAAAAGCATTTTCATCTCATTTAATTATTTCGGCATTTCGAACAGAAATTTCTTTCTTTCTCTTTTCTTTCAAAGTACACTAGTGTTTATTTCACTTGTTTGTATTTATTCTATGCAGTTTGATAAACTTCGAAATATTTACCATGATTATTTCCAAAAGTTAGAACTTGATTACTTCGTCTAAAAAATAAAAAACCAAACAATCAATCTATTGAATGAATTTTTCTAATTTACAGAAAAAGATAATTGAGTCAATAAAGTTTTTTTCTTTCTATTTATATTTGGTATCGTATTCGAGCTGTTCTAAGACATAGAGGATTACTAGAAAACAGAAATAAAAGTTTTACTTATCTATTTAATTCAGAAATGAATAGTTTTGATTAAGATTCTTATATTATCATAGTAGCTGAAGAATAAATAGAATTATAGGATCTTATCTGGTTTTCGTCAGATTAAATTCTATAGTCTCAAGTATATTGAAAAGAATTTAGTTTTCTTTAGCAATATAATCGGAGTATGTCGCTTTCCATTCTTTCAAAAGTATCTGCTTAGCTTTATTATTGATATACTATATTATTCATGCTTTGAAGAAGACCAAATTTATTTTAACAATATCATTTTGCAGAAAATTTTCTTTTCATTAGAAGAGCTTAATATATTTAATCCATCTTGAATTGAAACAGTTATGAGAGTTTCTTACAAAAATAAGCGTGAATAAAAGATTACTTTCGATATGTATGATCTAATGAGCAAAAAGAAGAAAATTAGAAGAAGTCTTTAGGAATATGATGCAAAGCAATGTGAATTTTTCGCAAAGGAATTTCTACTAGCATATGAACGATAAACGATTTCATCTAAGAACATAGGTCGAACGAATTTTTGACAAATCACGATTTTCTAAAACATCACGATACAAAGTATGCAAACCGAATGCATATATAGGACCGCCTAGATAATTCAGAGATTTTTTTTTTCAACAAACGACAAACAATCCTCATATTATTTAATGAGGCTCTTATTTATTTGTCTTTCATAGTTTATGTTAAAACTACATATTTGAAAGAGTAAAACAAGTAAGAAAGATCGCCTTTCAAAAGACTGTAAATAGTAAGACTTTAAAAAGCTCTAAAGAAGTTCAAAAACTTCAGAAGTTCGTTAAGATGAATATTTCTCTTTTCAAAATTAAGCTCATTCATATTTTGATCAGTTGGATGTTTTAAGGAAGTATGAGACTTTTGAAAATATGCCGTTTACATTGTCAACATTTATAATGAGAAAAGCATTGCATATGTATTGTTTCATTGTCTCTAAGTGTTTTTAATCATCTTATACAATGATTTCTATTCCTGTTCTATTAAGGCCAATAGATCAACGATATAGAATGAAGGATTCCATCGTAATAATGATTATCTAATATTTCTGATAGTCTGGTTAATAGTTCAGATTAGTTCACTAGTTGCTTCATTTAATGAAGCAGCCATTTTTAGTGAGGAAATATAAGAGGTTAGTTGCACTACACACCATTCATTGGTACTTCATGGAAAAGGAAAAAAAAGAAACAAAAGAGCTTTTTTTATGTCAGTTTTCTATATATATATTATGAAATAGTCAAAAATTGAGCGTTAGAAAATAAAAAGATTACAGATTCGAAATCCGATAAATCCGATGGTCTTCTTGTATATAGTAATATAAAGAAAAGACCATTTGTCTAAGTTTTAATCAGATCCTTCCACTTGTTTCTAGAATCTAGACTTAATGCTAGAAATTATTTTAAAGAAAACGAATCCACTGGTTTCTCCCTTGAAAAGATTAGTTTCATAGATTAAAAAAAATTGTTTTCATAGTTGTAAAAGACAACTACATCCAATGAAGATGAACTTATGTTGTTAATTTATATTAACTCGTAATATTCTCTTTAAAATATTTCGTTTGTAATCATTCTTATAAATACTTCGAAAAAGACAAATTTTCAAGTGATAAATCAATAAGAGACAATGCCGAAAATAATAGAATTCTTCCTTCGTCGTTCAGTTATTATGAAAATAGCTAAGAATCCATTCGAAAACGTTTTTTCTATAAAAGTCAAAAGTAATATATTGCTTGCCATTCTCAAATGAAATAGAATATGATTCATCATTTTAAATATTTGAAAAAACTATTATTCCTTATTGTCGTTTAAATTTTAGAATTAGAAAATTTTTCATTTCATCGAAATATTTTGTTATTGATATGAATTAGAGTTACTTCAATAAAAAAAAACATATTGATGTGCTAAAACTTATTCAAGCTCATATTGCATATAGTTAGTTTCTGAAAAAATATCGACCCTTTCCAACTTAATTTCCTTTCTAACAAAGTAAGAAAGAATACAAGCAGTCAGTAGCGTAGCCAAGAAATTCTGGGTCACGGGCCATTTCCCAGCTAAATTATTTTGAAGAATGGGCGGTAATGGGCAATTCAAAATAATTTAAGTTATAGTTTTTGTATACGTATTAGCATCACAAACATTATATTCTCTAAAGAGGAAAGATAAGATTAAAAAACCAAGAAAGCCAGAAAAATTTTTCCGATCCATTACCCAAAAAACATAAGTGAAGAGCAAAAAAAACATTTTTTCGGTATTCGGCCATTCCTATTGTTCACAAAATTTATCGGGCAATAACTTTTGAACTAGTGGGCAATTGCCCAATGGCCATCCCCTTGGCTGCGCCACTGCAAGCAGTAATATTTTGGAGAGTGACACACATAGAATATATCTAATTCGAAAATGAAAGTCAATCTATTAATAAGAAACGACAATCTTACAGTTAATGTTGTTTTTAGAAAGATCTATTATCATACTTTCTCTCTCACTAAGATGCAATAATGTAATCGATTTTACGGTTTTTATCTAAACTATAAATGCTATTTATAAGTAAAATATGAACTAAAGTATGGAGTACTGGTATCTATGAAGAGAAGCTGATCCACATTCACACTCTCACTATTCTGTTGTCTTGATTTTTGAATTGAATTGAATTGAATTGATAAGATATCTATGTTGGCGAATACTTATTTTCAATAGTTCATATTGCCATGACACAGTGAATGATAGAATGCATTTGTTCGTTTACAAGATCACATACAAACATTTGCATTTCAATTTAGTACAAGACATTTATCAATACGTTGACATAATAACCTTGCATTATTATCTTTACTGAAGAGAGTTCGAAAACGAACGACAACATCAATGCAATTTTAACAAATAAACACATAGAACATCTAGGTCAATATTCGCTCTAAAAAACTTTCAGCACTAGTCAAACTCCATCTAGACATGGTGTTCAGGGTGTGGGTGCGGGAGAGACTTTAGTGAACACCCCCCACCCTGCCATTTTAAGTTTTGTTGAGATCCTGATATGTTGATCTTTCAAAGTATACATAAAAGAAAGAAAAAAATCACAGAATGATCTTCACCTATGTTAAATGAAGGTTCACTAAGTAAAGGAAGGTTTATACTCCCAAATGTTTCAATAATACAATCAGTTTTTCTTTTCATTTGAATATATTTAATAGTCTGTCGATCTTATTCGTTTCATTCTCTCTCTTTCAAGTTTTAGTTCTACTCTACGACGGTTGTTTATCGGACGAAGATAGCGATAAAATTGCTGAGGCTTGTGCAGTCGGTCGATTCGTCGGAAACTATCAACAATTTATCAAAATTTTAGCTGATTGAATTTGAAAATACATGAATGGAATGATGATACTTCGGTTAACGTTTGTGGCATGTCCTGCATAGGCAATATCAAGGGTCATTTTTCGAAATGGGAATGAAAGTGAAGATACCGTATGCTAAGATGAGCTATTGGTTGGCATGAATCTCTATTAAGTTGTCTTCTCTGACTACATCGTGTTATGGCTAACCTCAAAATCAAGATTTTGAATGCTTCCACTCGCTTTCTAAATACTGTTAATTTTCGAATAAAGAACTTCTTGCACTAATGTTTACAACGAAAAATTCTTGATGCCAATGAACATATATGCAGCAAACCTCAACCCGAATTTAAAGTGTTTGCTTAGCTTGGGTTTGAGGTTGGATCAGATACTCCAAGTTACCAAGTCATTTCATATGAATTATTGCTTTTTTTGTCTACCAAATATTCTTTCTATAGCCAGATGATTTTTTTGATATATAAAAAGAAGTAAAAGTAGAGTGTAGGTATTTGCGTGTAGAGTGTGGATGTAAGGTTAGACGACCCCCTCTAACCACATCCACACCCTATGTTATTGGATGAAAACGAAGAATTAAACAACATTTTTCGAAAAAAAATGTTTTATCTGAAAATATACGTGACTACGTACTCAATCTTTAGAAGTAATGTTTTGTGACTAAAAATCAAGGTAATCATAAGTGCCTGTAGTGTCTGAGACTGCCCATATTCATTCGAAACAGTATATTCAAGTGACAATAAATGGGATTGCTTCGAATCAATATTCATGAGTGTACATGAAATCTTTACCTCAAGCCTTATCTTGCGATACGAGTTTCAGGGTGTCCATGGATTGCGCAGTTTTTATAGATATCTCTTCTTATGTATATGAATTCTATTGCTGTATTTTCAGATCTTTTTTGAATGTTATAGTTAAGAACATCAATTTGAGTGAATACAGAAAAAAATAGATGAAAGGCTGGATTAAAAACTTATGAAGTCTCATTTAATAATAGATATTTTTGGTTGATTATTTTTTGCCGTTAAGATGATCATTAATAGCGGTCTCTATTTGAACAGGGTCTCCAGTAGTAAGTAGTGCAACTTGTTCATTATTTTTAATAAATAAAAATGTTGGTAATGATTTGACGTTGTATTTTTCAAAGATATCAGGATTGGAACTTTCCTTATTGCATTTGCGAAAAAGAACACGATCTATATATTCAGCCTCTGTACTCCATGAATCAACAAAACGTTCCATTCGACTGCATCTTTCACGACGTCTAAAAGAAGAAAAAGCAGAAATCAGTTATAGTCTCCAGTACAATAAACTTACCGATCAAAAAAGAAAAGCACAATTAATTCGGTCTTAGGAGTTAACTGTGCCTGAATATTGTCGAAGACTTCTAACGATTCAACGTCATTGGTCATTATGAGAAAATATGGAATAGTTGCAAGTGTTTATCTATGAATAAATAACGCATGCATTTTGTGATGTAAAAAGTAAACAGGGCATAGACACATGACTCCATACTAGAGCAAGCAAACTAATATGAATAGCATTTAGAAAAATGCAACTAAAACTTAAATAGAAACAAATGAGATAATATGAAAAAAAAATAGAATAAATTTTGTTCATGGTTTCTTGATTGATGGTGTTCGAAGTTTTTCGACGACTGATTACAGTTGCTGAATTTTCGTATCAATTGTAGCGCTAGAATAAACAATACATTGTAAAAAAATAAAAGTAAGATAATAAATATATAGAATTTCAGAAATCAATCATAAATCCTCAAAAGGTTTAATTAACTTGAGTAGTCACTATACCGACTCTGGAATTTAGGAAAACGAAAAAAATGAAAACAGTTTTGGCTATGACCAGATGTAAAATACAAGTTCTTACTGTAGTTTGTGTAGCAGTTCTAGAAGAAAACAATTCATATAGATTGAGCTAGAACGATATTGACTTGTCATCTACACTATTTATCCAGTGTTCTGACAGCTTGAATACTTGAAACGTATTATCGTTGATGTTTTCAAACTTACCTTGAATTCACAAGAAATCTATTTTCTACCACTGATTTTGCATAGCCTTTCGTTGCTGCATTTTCAAAGCAATCCCAACGGTAGTTCATTAATTTTTCGTTCTTTGGAAGTATTTCTTTCGATGAGAAAAAATATTATTTGGCACATATATTGTTTTCTATTTCTTACTGAAAATTTTCTCTTTTGGTTTCTGAAGTCTTTCGTTACCATGATTATTGCAACAGTAATTATAAGGCTTTATAATTACATAGAATATACGTATAACCAAGTACCATATATGTGATAAAATGGTCAGCGGTGGATATGAGAACAGAGGTTTTTCGGCATATTCACGTATCAATAGATATCGCTGATATTGCCAATGAAACTCTGTATTCGCTTGAACGGTATTTATTGTAAAACTAAAAAGTTAAGAAAAAGCTTATACTGTCTCAAATATCAAGTTAACTTACCTAAATACAGCAATAAGAAGATTCAAGATAAGTACACTGATAAACAGCATATGCACTGCTAACAAAACATGCGTAGCAGTTGTTTCTGCAATGTAAGTTCTGTTTTTGTTTTCACTCATTTCTAAAAACATAATGGCATATCTCCAGGATTACTCTCAAAACACTACTTACCCTCAAGAACTTTATCACTACCACCAAATAAAAATGAATAGGGAGGATAAAGTATTTGACTAAATATGTCATGAATATTGAAATTGACTTTGTTATGCATGATCATAGCGCGCGAAACAACACCATAAGCAGTAATAAATACAAATATGATATATAAGAAAGAGGTCAAATCTCGTGCCTAAATAATAATACAGAAGGTCATTTTTAAAGACTTCACTAGATCACTTACCATGGTTTTAATCATCAGAAGTTTAGGTCCAAGATAGCTGTGTGAAATTATAAATCTCAAAGATCGCAAATACCACAATTCCAAATCAATAGCCATAATGATCCTTAGAATATTTTTTTTGTGTTTTCTATTAAAATAAATAGTAATGCCTTACCTTGCAGCCGTTAACAAGTGTGGCGTATTACCCATAGTATGCCGCATTATGATGCCAGTATAAAACAGTGCGTATAAAGCAATATGAAAAAGTTTTGTCATTAATAATAGTAATAGTGATTCGACAGCATTTTCACACTCATGCATATTTGTTACAAATGTACTGTATTTCTAAACGATAAATGTGATGGCAAATAGATCTAAGACAGCTAACGACTCCATAGAGGTGAACCATTAAACTTAATTTTAAATTAACTTGATTTTTTCTACTTGATACTTTATGCTCAAATTTAAGCTTTAATGGAAAACTTAACATTTAATTCACTTAAAATTAAGTGAAAAACTATAAGCGTGAGTGAAATATAGTTCACTTCAATTTTTTTTTGTTACGAGAAGGATATTTTTTCAAAATAGCAATTATTTTTAAAAGTTGGAACAAAAGTTTTTTAACGACCAGGAATCAGATTCTGTAACTCACTTTTTGCACTTAGAGTGCAAGAATCACACCAACACAAGGCTACTTCTTAAAACTAGGAATGCTATGCACAAGTGCAGAAAACTCCTCCTAAAATCTGATTGCTTCATTTTTGACCAATCACATTGCAGCAACGACTTTTTTCTCTATTAATCCGACAACATAAGAGAGTTCTTAGGCTCATATGAAAGATAATCCTCATAAACCCGAAGATCGGATCGAGTCCGACTATGTTTCTTCCGACTAATCTGTTGTTGTTAGTCATGCATTAAGGATTGAGAATAGATTTCGTCACAAATTTCAAAAACTGAATCGTAGAATCTGACCTTTTGACCTCGAAAATCTTTTTATCAAACTTTTTAAAATATTGTTATTTTTTCAGGAATTGGCTTGTGCTCTAGAAAAATAATCAAAAGTTAGTAGTATTTGACTCACGGTTCTCAGTTAATTACTTAACTATAAGTTAGTGAATTAAGTTGAAAAGTTAATATTTGAAATTAACCGTTAAGCTTTTTATTAACACTTAATATTAAGAAATTAAGTATACAGGAAAATTTTAATTTTGAAATATTAGGTGTTAAATTATATTACTTAATTAAGTGACATAATTAAGTCGAATTAGAAATAATGGTCCACTCCTACAGCTCAATGAATCGAAAAAGCTACGCTCAAATTTATGTTGACCAGCTCTTTTTTTTTGTAAGTTGGATCTACTAGTCAGCTCTTTTCATATGAACGGCATCCGACCCAGATCGAAAGAGAGACTTTCGCTTTGGTAGCGAGCTGGATACATCTCTAGTAAGTTCTGTAGAAATAAAACAAACAGTGACTACATATAAGTTATGTCAAAAAAGCTGGTCACTTCGTATCCGCTTGTTTAAACGATATGGAGCTGTCGTACACCTACTGACAGAAGATTCGAGGTGACGTTAAATTTTACCTGACGAATACGTTCTAAAAGAATTGTTGTTATTGTGATGATCACAAAAATTTCTGTCCAATGAGGAAGTTTGTTATTCAGTGGTGGATCAAAATGATATAACATCATATAACTAAATATAAGCAGTAACCACACGTTAGCAATCTGTAAAGAAATCAAAGTTAGAATACATGCAAACATAGATTATGAGAAGAACACTCCTTACAAAATCGTAGATCATTTTGATCATTGGGCATTCGTGAAAGCTGATAAATTGTTTTAAATATGAACGACACGTTAGTTTCTGTGAACAGTCAGAAGGCATGTAATAATTCACACCATTGGAATACAGTCTATATCGTCACACTATTTCATAGAATATATATATATAAGAAATGCCGCTTACTGTTCATCTTTATTCAATGGTGACTGCTCTTGAGGTTCTTCTTGTTGTTGCTTGCGATAGGCAACATAGAAGGGTGCAAGAACACCAAAACTTAACAAACCAAGAGTAATCATTGGCTTTTCCGCATCATTATGATTGATTTCATCAAGTTTATCGTACCATGCTTCATTCATGACTCGATTAAAACAAACCGTCAATAAAAATTTCTTACTTTTAGCTGACACTGCAGCCTGCGAGGAAAAAAGAACGACTAATAGCAAGTGAAATATTTTCAATCTTACATACTTGCACACATGTTATATTACCAAAGAGTGATATCTGTCGTAAAATTAGTTCACAGGCTTTTGTTTCATTATACATATAACAACTATCGATGCACTTTACTGCATATAATTCAAATTCGTCTGCTATATTCTTCATTTTTTCTTTGAACTGAATAATGTTCGTATTTTTTGAGTATTCTGTGAATATTTTTGATGCAATGAGTGAAGCACAGATTCTTGGTTTCAGATGAACTAGTAGGACTTTAGCTAGTTCGACATGACCCATAAATACAGACCATAGAAACAGATCTCGTAGCTTATGTTGTTGTGAATAGTCTTTGTCGTTTTCTTCACGAGGCTTGAATAGAAGTAGACACGTATACAATTGGGTCATGCGATGTTTTGGTTTCCAACAGCATCTACAAATTTTTTGAATGAGTTCATCCCACGTGCGTTTCAGACTAGCCAAAATACGCTTTCGTTTTTGCTTTTCTTTTGAATACAAAGGCTTCATAAAGGAACCGATAAATTCTTCGCAGATCGAATCAAGAACAGCAAGTGATTTAGGTTCTTCTCTGTTTTCCCAGTCCAGTGTAGGGAACAGATATCGTTTCTAAAATATGAATATCTGATAGTTTTCTAAACCGATATTTAGTGAAAGATATATACCGCATGTTGTTTGTTCCAACTATTTCGATACAGTTTTAAGACGTCGTCTTGCTGTAGCTCGTACAAAACATTATATTGAGATCGAAGTAAATAATCAACCAATATATATTTATTACTTTCGACTGAAGTAATAAAACGTTCTCCAATTTCTTTAGAGGACAGCTAATAACAAAATTTGAAAGTTTTTGTGAAGTTAGACAAGTAGGAAAACATGAATGTTATAGTATGCTTCGTAAATAAAGGATTTAGTTATCTACCTAATAAACAGATCTCGTTTACCTTAGATTTGTTTTTAAAGCATAATGAAATGAACTTGACCTGGATCGAGCTCGAGCCTAAAATGATTTTTCCATGTTCGAGATAGGCATCGAATCTACAGGACCAAAATTAACATTTAGGAAGCGAATTGGCTATTTCTTCACCATTTCTTAATCTTTTATCTGTTTTCCCATACTAATGTTAAGTAGAGAAGTATCGAATCCATTTTGAGTCCGAAAAATTGGTTAGAAAAACAACCTTTTCCTAGAATTTTCTCCCAAATTTTAAGTTCACAAATACCTCCAATATTCTTCATAAGAGAAGACTTTTCTAGAAAGAATGAAGATGTGGAAGATTAAAAATAGGTTTACCGTTACTTTTCGACCTAACATTGTGGAATAGATATGGACCAGTAGATTTCAAGAATAGTAACATTTTGATGATGTTTGGGATATATTTCAGTGTCATATTATAAAAAATATTATTTGCATTTTATACAACATCCTCACGATGTTTCTAAGATGCGTGGTTATTTATATACTGAACAGAGTTCCTTCTAGAATTCTGGGAATACATGATAAAATTGAGACATAGTAGTGTATTGAGCAATTCATATAATAATCAGCTCAGCAGCTCAATATTCTATATCCTTGACGGTTATTGGTTGCTCATCGACTAAACACGTCAAATTAGTGTGCAGTTATGTAAGTATTTCAACACTATCTTAAGAACGGAACAATAGATATTCATGACTCTTTCTAATGTAACTTGAAGTTTAAGAAACCTAAAAAATGACATCCATTAGTGAGGAACACTATGTTGACCAAACTGATTATGTGTACAAAAAGTAGTTGCATCATGATCGAAAGTAATAAAATCGAACCAGTTTCATGACAATATTCAGAAACGTTAAGTTAGAATCGATTACTCGTGCTTTCGGAATTCTATATTTCGTATTCAAGAAAAATCGCGTTCCAATGAATTCAATGATCAAAATCACAATACACCATCAAAAGAGAGTAATAAAACAAACGAATTTTTTTGGTACTCGCTGATTCTTATAATCAATCATTCTTGTCTTCTAATCTGTCAGCAAACATTACTATACTAAATTTATATCTTGATGTTAGTAAAAAGATTTTCAGGGTTGTCTTATTTAGTGCGCAGAATTGGAGGCAGAACGAAAGAAAGTCAACCCGGTCATGAATTATTCTCATGAGCAACGATGTATATTCATCTGATAAAAGTCTAGAAAATGGACTAACCTGTATTCGTTTTGCTTTAATATATTTAAGCACTTGCTTTACTCCTTCTAATGAATTCCATTCAAACGATAGATTTAGAAAGTTTTCTATATTTATTTGTGAATGATCCTGATTTGCAAGCTGATCATGAGGATTGTTTTGATGTTTGGAAACCATCATTTTGTAGCCTTAATATCATTAATCACATTTGATTTACTCATGCCTCATACAAATTTAACTTACGTTTGAAAACCGCATTGAATATCGTTTCGGCAACATTAATATCTTTGTCTAACGAGTAAACATTCAAAAGGTCACGATTTTTCATGTCCATAATCTGGGTTATCTCATTACTAAAAAGTCTGTAATCATTATCTGTAAATGGAGCGTCTGAGTTAGTCTCTTCATTTTGAAATTCTTTTTTTAGTCGATCAACGATTTCATCGCGTTTTGGCTTACTAAAATTTTGAGTATGTTCTTGTGAAAGTTATAAAAAGTTTTCTCTTACCAATCAGGATTTTGCTTCAGCAAATCGCTTAATACATCAGCTATTCTACCGCTACCCTGAAGAAATATAAAACAAACATTAAAACACTTGGTTAATGTTATATTATCGCTTTCTTACATCTATAATCACAACAGGACGATTTTCTTTCAAATCATTCAGTATCACTTGCAATGTGTTTGTACCTCCTTCAACAATAACTGTAACCGCATAGCCTAAAACCGAAAAACAACGTCAGAGAAACATTGCATTATAATAGTATTGTGTGCTCACATTTGTTTTCATTGTTGGATGCCTCTCGTACGAACCTACGTCGCTGTTCATCGCCTATATAACCAGACGATTGACCATCGTCGAACAATACCATATATGTATGATGTAGTTCTATTGTCTCAGGATCAGTTGTTTCCAATATTTCTTGAGGAAATTCGTAGACTTCTTCGTTTGCATCATAATTTGTGCCATTTTTCTGGCTTGTAAACTAAAAGAGAACAGAACTATTATATTCTAAATCTTTTCTCAATTGATTATTGTACTTTTTCCGATAACTGATTTCTAGTTGTTTCAGGTAGAGTTCCCCATTTTGTGAGACCAATACTGACTACGTCTTTTGAACGGCCATTTAATATTCGGTCTTGCAATATCGCTTCGCCAACCAATTTGGCAATACCACTGTTTAAACCAGTAGTCAATATCCATCCATCTTCAGAAAAAAGAAAGTTATTCTGCGAATTAAACTACAGTTACGGATCAAGCCTTTCATATGTATAAGCTCGTAATCTTTCGTTTATATTTTTATACTTTGGTTGTAATCCTTTTCATTAGCCTAATACTAAGGTTGTCTGTTTATTCTTGCAATAGATACACAAAGCAGTAGGCCTATCAATCTCTTAATTTTTTCGTTCATAATTATGCCAGTAACAGTGTTCGACTTTAGTTGGATCACTAAAATAGTGTCTGATCTCGGGTCGGATCGGATTGGGTCAGAATAAATCGATCGATGTCGAGGTTTACATAAGAAAAATACTAGTTCTAAATGAGGTAATGACCTTGTTCTGGTCAATTTTGTCAATATTTGTACAGATGCATTAAAAAATGCTTATCCTCTGAAAAAACTTGCTTTAATTGCAGGGTTGCCAGATCGTCAGAATTAGTCGGAATTTTCCGAATTTTCTAAGTTTTTCCGACTGCGTTCCGACTTTGCGAATTTATCCGAATTCTTGAATTTTTTCCGATTTTTTCGAATCGTAGTATTTTTTTAAAATTTCCTTTCCATTACAATTTTCCACGTAACTTTTGATAGATTTCATACGGCGCCATCTTTATTTTCTTATAATCATTGGATAATTGATTTTATTCTTACAAACTAGGGTGTCCCTAGTCGATAATCCCCAGGTGAATCCCCGGGGAGTCCCCTGAAAAACTTCCCGGGGTATCACAACAGGGAGCTCCAGGAGATCCTTTAGGGAGTCCCTGAAAAAATCCCCAGGGACTCCCTAAAGGCGTAGTGTAGTGCTTAAAGGATGCAATTCATTTTTGTGCAAGTTTTTAACCTTTTATCCTATTCGTTTCAACTGAAACATTTTTCCAAGAAAAACTTTTAACTGTTTCATAGTATGTCCTATCTAAGGTTACCAGAAGGCTCCGTCGTATCGGATGACTCCCGCAGATTAAATAGCAACTCACATAAAAATAATGAGTTGTCCCTGAGATACCCCTGATTGAGTTTCAAATGTTATCTATCGTATAGAAAATATATATGTTAAAAATAAACTATTTTTTCCTTCAAGTCTGATGTCTCTTATACACTTTAATATACGCAAAACAAAACGGTGAATCGATTCCTTCACTCCCTGATAAATCCCCGGAGACTCTCTTCAGGACTCCTTGGAGGAGTTTTTTTTTTCCCTTACTTCCATCAAATTTAGGGAGTTCCGAGGAATTTGCTAGGGAGTGTTCGGTGAGTCCCCGGGGACTTCGTGCTTTTTCGGAAACTTCCTTGCGATTCGTCAGGGAATTCTCGATTATGGGTGGGTGTGTGGATGTTGGTGTTGGGTATGGGATGTGGGTTAAGTATGAAAGCGAAGCACACCCACACCCTTTTTGTGTCAACAGTCTCTTCTTGAAAATGATGTTTCCTAGTGATGTTACAATTAATACATTTATTTCCATGTTGATGAAATATATCTACAGAAAGGATAATCAAACTCAGAAGGCTTTTCTATGAGAAAAAA